TAACACTTTTTTATATATTTGACATTCAAAAGAAAGGAAATAATAAAGATCTGAGCTGAAATAAAAGGAAAAGAAGACATAAAACCCAGTAGAGAAAATTGATAAACCAAAAAGTGGTTTTTATGAGAAGATCAATAAAATTGATAAACATCTAGCCAGACTAGTTAGGGCAAAAAAAGAGAGAAGACACAAATTACCAATATTAGGAATGAGAAAGTGGGCAACACTACAGATCCTATAAACATTGAAAGGATAATATAGGCAAATAATGAACAAATTTATGCCAATAACTTTAACAACTTAGATGAAATGGACAATTCCTTGAAAGACATAAACTACTAAAGTTTACTCAGGAATAAATAGATATGTGCCTGCAGCCACTTTGGTTTGAATCCAAGTCATAGCACTAAAAAAAAAAAGAATAAATAGATAATCTGGACATACATCTATATATTAAAAGAAATTGAATTTGTACTTTAAAATCTTCCCACAAAAAGACTTCAGACCTAGTTGGCTTAACTGGTGAATTCTACCAAACATTTCAGGAAGAACTGATACAAATTCTGCACAATTTATTCCAGAAAATTGAAGAGGAGGGAACATTTTTCAACTCATTCTATGAGGTCAGCATTACCCTAATACCCAAACCAGAAAAAGACATAAGAAAAGAAAACTACACACAAATATCCCACAAGAAATACATGCAAAAGTTCTTTAAATACTTTTAGTAATCAAATCCAATAACATACAAAAAAAGATAATACATCATCATTCCAAGTGGAATTTATCCCAGGAATTTAAGGTTGGCGTAATATTCAAAACTCAATCAATGCAATTCACAATATTAACATACTAAAAAGCAAAAACCTGTGAGCTATCTCAATAGATGCAGAAAAAGCATTGGACGAAATCAACATTCATGTGTGAATTTTTTTTAATTTCAGAAAATTAGGAATGAAGTTAGCTGCCTCAGTCTGATAAAGTACATCAATGAAAAGCCACCAGCTAACATCATACTTAACAGTGAAAGACTGAATGCTTTCTTTATGAGATCAGGAATGAAACAGCATGTCCACTCTTTCCACTTCTATTTAACATTGTACTGGAAGTTCTAGCCAATGCAATAAGGAAGAGAAAAATAAAAGAAATAAATAGTATCTAGATTGTAAATGAAGTATTAAAACCATCTTTATTAACAGATTAACATGATCACCTGTGTAGAAAATCCAAAGAAGTCTACAAAAGAGCTATTATAACAAATAAGTGAATTTAGCAAGGTTGTAGGATATAAGATCAATATACAAAAACAACTATTTTGTATATACTTTCAACGGACAATCAAAATTTGAAATTAAAAATTATTTTTTCAATAGCATAAGAATTGTGTAATACCAGCAGATAAATTTGACAAAAAATGTGAAAGACCTCTACATTGTAAGTTATAAACCATTGTTAAGGGAAATTAAAGAAGACTTAACTAAATAGATTTACCATGTACATGGATCAGAAGACTCAATATTGTTAATGTGTCATGCCTTTCCAAGATGATCTATAGATTCAAAACAATTCCTAGCATAATCCTAGCAGGCTTTTTTGTAGAAATTGACAAACTGATTCTAAAACATATATGGAAATGCAAAGGACTAGAATAGTCAAATAAATTTTGGAAAAGATGAATAAATTCGGAGAACTTAAACTACCTGATTTTAAGACTAATTATAAATTAACAGTAATCAGAACAGTGTAGTATTGGTGTAAAGATGGACATATTGATAAATGTAACAGAAGAGTCCAGAAATACACCCACACATATATGGTGAAATGATTTTCAAAAAAGATGCCAAGATGCTTCAGTGGGAAAAGGTTAACATTGTCAAAATAATGCTGCAACAATTAGATTGCCATATAGGAAAAAAAAAAAAAAAGGAAATTGACCTTTAACTTACACCACATACAAAAATAAACTTGAATTGGATTTTAAACTTAAATGTAAGAGTGAAAACTATACAAATTCTAAAAGAAATTATAGAAGATCTTACTGACCCTGGGTTTGGCAAAGCTATCTTGAGTAGGACACAATAAAACACGAAGTGTAAAAATCAAAAATCAATAAACTGAGCTTCATTAAAATTAAAACTTTTGTTCTTGAAAAGACAGACACTATTACTAAAATGAAAAGGCAAGCCACAGCCTGGGAGAAAATATTTACAAAGTGTATATCCAACAAAGGACTTGTATTTAGAATATATATTGAATTCTTTATAATAAGACAACCCAATGAAAATGGGCAAAAAATTTGAACAGACATTGCACGAAAGAATATATGGAGATGGCAATAAGCATATGAAAATGTATTCAACCACATTAGTCATTAGGAAAATGCAAAGTGAAATAATAATGAGATAACCACTACATACCTACCAGAATGGCTAAAACTACCAAGTATTGGTGAGGATATGGAGCAACTGGAACTCTTGTAAAGCTCATGGGAATGTTTAAGAAGTTAAGCATGCATCTACCATATGACCAACCCATTCTACTAGATATTTACTCAAGGGAAATGAAAGAATATTTCCACAGAAAAACTTGTACATGAATGTTTATAGCTGCTTTATTTGTGATAGCCCCAAACTGGAAAGATCTCAAATGCCCATCAGTAGGTGAATGGATAAACACACTGTGTTATAACCATACAATGAAATACTACTCTGCAATAAAAAGAAACGAGCTATTGACACACACATGAACATGGATGAATCTCAAAATAATTGTGCTGAATCAAAGAAAGAAGCCAGACCAAAAAGAATACATACTATTACAATTCCATTTGTATAAAATTCTAGAAAATGCAAACTTATTTATCTTGACAGATCAAAGATTAATGGTTACTTGGGACTTGAGAGAGTGGGGAAGATGAATTAGAACAGGGCATGAGGAAACTTTTGAGAGTAATGCATATGTTCATTATTTGGATTGTGGTGACGATTTCATGGGAGTATATTTATGCAAAATTCATCAAATGATTCATCTTAAATATGTGCAATTTGTTTTTTGTCAATTATACCTCAAAAAACTAAAAACAAGTAGGGGAGATTGTATTATTCAAAAATCCCTGTCAAAAAACACAAAGAGGGGCTGTGGAAATGTTCCAGACCATAGCTATCCAACAGAGCACTCAGTGCTGATAGAAATGTTCTGTCTGCACCATACAAACAGTAGTCAGGAGCCACATGTGGCTATTGAGCACTTGAGATGTAGCCAGGGAAACTGAGGAACTGAATTTTTAACATTATTTATTAATAATTTTAATCAATTTTAAATAGCCACATTAGACAGCATGGCTCCAGATTAAAGGAAGCTAAACAGATATGAAAACTAAATACAGTCTCTGACCCTAGACTGGATCCTATATTGGAGGATGAATAATGCTATAAAAACAGTATTATATCAACTGATAAGATAAGAATATAGGTGATAGATTAAATGAAAGTATCGGTATAAATTTATGAAATTTATATTAATAACTACACTGTCATTATATAAGAGAAGATCCCTTCTCTTAGGAAGCACACACTGTATTTAAGGGAAAAGGACCAGGATGTATATAACTTACTCTCAAAGAGTTCCGAGAGATGACCAGATGGTCATACAAATGGGGTAAAATGTTAACAATAAATGAATATGTATAAAGAGTATATAGATGTTTCTTGTACTATTTTTATGTTTGTAACTTTTTGTAAGTTTGAAATGGTTTCCAAATAAAAAGTTTTAAAAAATGCTTTTATATGTAACCATGGTATTACAGTTATATTTTTAAAAAAGAGTCCTAGTCTGTTAAAGATACATAATGAAATATTTATGGGCAAAATGATATGTCTGGGGTTTGCTTCAAAGTAATAAGGGATCTTAATATGGGAAGTGGGAGTATAGATGGAAGAAGGGCAGCCATAGATTGATTCTCTTGGAGCTGGGTGACATGAACATGGATTTATTATACTATTCTGTCCATTTTTGTATACATTTAAAATTTCTATGACTTTGAATTGGGAAAAATCAGCATTTACTCAATGTTATTCCCTTCATGAATATTGCATGCTTTTCTCATACTCAGTTTTTTGGGGGTTTTTTTTTTGTATAAACTAGGAGAACTCATTTATACCAAATCCTTCATTATGAAAACTATTTATGTAGCTCAAATGTTCCTTAAAACAATAAAAATTCTCATCAAAACAAAGATTTCTTTTAAGACCCCATAAGTGGCCACTTATTTCAAGCAATGCATCCCAATTCCACTATGGGAAAATACTTTGCTCAGACACTTTAATAGAACAATCTCTTTCCATATTTAAAAATACTTACACAAGTAAAATTTCATTATAACAAATTTCATGAAACTATTTTCTTCTGAATTTTTGGTTTAAGTTAGTATATTCCTAGAGATCACATTCTCTGATTGTGAATCTTGAGATGAAAAATCCTATTCATGTGCAGCTGAGTCCAGTGAGGTAATGAGGAGCTGTTTTGAACTCAGAATATTTATGCTTATCATTCCTAGATCTTTTATTTCCCAGGATATGATTTTGTATCCTATTGTTTGAGGGTTTTAAGTGGTTTGGCATTTGACTTTGGGAAAGTTAAATTGCTTTAATTGCATAAATCCCATAAACCACTCAGCTAAGCTCTCTCTTCCCAGCCTGTAATCTGGCAAACAACCACCCATTTTCATTTTAGTGGCTCTTACATGAACCAAGACAAGGAAAGCATGTTCACAAAGTCATTTGTTGCGTCAACATTTTGTACTATGTCAAGAAGTTTCTCTTACTGGGGGACCGTATCCTTAAACATGGGAATATCTTAATTGAGAGATTCCCTTCATAGCATACGTTTTTAAGACATAGGATTTTACCTGTTTAGGAAAAATTAAGACTGAAAACCCCTGGTTTTCACTTGCTAGCTTTACTATTTTGTTTGTCATTATGATGATTTTTCTTTCTTTCCAGAGATAGACTACTGTGCCTCACCTAATCATGGATGTCAGCACGAGTGTGTTAACACAGATAATTCCTATTTCTGCCGCTGCCTAAAAGGTTTTACCCTGAACCCAGATAAGAAAACCTGCAAAAGTAAGTCACCCTGGGAGCTGGAGATGGGCTCGTTCCACTAAGTGCTTCTCCAGTTAGTTTTCCTTTCCTTGCAATCGTAAGCAAGATGTACTTGTACTCAGCATTTGTGTCTACTAACATTATTCTGCCCTTAATTTTACCTTTTGGCCCACTAGATCCTAATATGGGGATGATTTTTCAAGACTGAATAGACTGGGTCTGGCCATTGGATTCATTTAGCAAAGTTGGGGCCCAAGCTGAAGCTCCCAACTATCTGAAATGAGGGTGCGCTCTCCTTCCTCCTCACCCCCACAGTGTGTATTTGGAACTTTGGGAGAGAAAAGACTGCGCCCAGGGATGGGAGGTTAAAAGGAGCTGGTTTCTTCCAGGCCTACAAGATAAGACACTTGATGGATGCTAAGGGGGGTAAATTGCAGCTCTATCCTCTTTGATAGGAAAGAAGAAAAAATGAGACTCTGGGGCATCCCAGCAGCATTCAAGGGGTACAGGGTGTCAGCAGAATGATATTGAGGATGTGCTGAGCGTCTCAAATGCCTGTCATCTGGCATGTCAAGGGGCGTGACCAGAATCTGAGCATGGACTCCAGACAAGACCTCTTTAAGCCAGACCGTTCCTAAGAGACTGCTAGAATGGCTGGCCCATGAGGACAGAGATGGTTGTCTTTTTCTCACTGTTGAATCCTCAGTAACTCAAAGAGTACTTGGCATACATAGGTGCAGCACAATGTTGAATGGATGAATGAGTGAGTCAATGAATCTCTCTGAGATGTGTCATCCTGGAAAAATTGCAACCATTATTTGAATTCCTCAATCTTGTTAGAAAAATGGCCTTTTTAAGGCATGCAAGTTGTGAATTTTTTTCTCAAAAAGTCTTCTCTTAGTCTACACTTAAGCACACTGAATTGTTCAGGGTCAGCTGACAATGTCATTCACAGAAGTCTCTGGAGCTTCCATTTAGGGATGTATTTTCCCATACACTCCTTCACCCACTTCTTCCTGGAGATATGTACAGCAGCGTTCTGCATGGCAGGACTGTGTTTGCAAAGGTTTCACCATTTATATCTCTTGTGAAAAGCACTGTAGGTTATATAACTGAATCCAGACGAGTCACATTCTCCTTATAGCACAGATTAACTTGTATGCTCATTCTAATAAGTGTTATGCTGTGTATAGTGGCAGATGGTTGCACAGCCCATATTTTGAAACTGAGCCTCTCTTATAAAACATAATTCCCCCTGCCTTGCCTGGATACAAACCCTGGAAATATTCAAGCATTAAATGGGAATTTTAATTGCGATCATTCAGAATGTGAAAACAATTAGATGGGATATTTGCCATTAGACCACACACGCCTGCGATGCATCGGAGGGCCAATTTTTCTGGCCTGGCCTCTCCTCTCTCTGCCATTTACACCTTTAGCTAGGGGTGAGTATGTGAGGGGCTGGCTGCACCCAGGGATAAGCACTCACAGGTGGACTCATTTGCGGACCCAAAGCTCTTATGTGGGCGATGATGATTGGATCTGGTTCAGCTTAGATGCTCATTGCGGCTGCAAGCTTCTTCCTGTGCTACTAATGGAGGGAGAAAAGGAAAAGTTAGGCATGTGGCCATTGGTGGAGGAGAATTTTCTTGAAGCTCTGCATCTCTTACCAATCCTCGGAATCCCTGGACCTCTGCCACTCCCTCAACACCCTCTGCCACTCCCTCAACAACCTGGAGAGGCGCCTGGGATAAGAGAAGGGTGCAAGGCAGTGCAGGCACCATTACCAAGGGAGGAGGGAGGCTGAGAACAGAAGGGCGAGTAGAAAGTCGTGACCGTTTGGGAGTGGTCCCCACCACAAATTAGGCCCCAGATGGGCCTGTTTGCAGACTGTGGCCCAAGGCCAGAGACCCTAATCCTCGCGCATGTATATTCAGTGGGTATAGTACCTCTTTAGCCAGGTGCCCTACATTTTCATCCAAAAAAAAAAAATGAAATTTGTTCCTAAAACCCATTGTCCTCATCAGCCCTTCTCCCAACACCCTGCATCATCGTTACATTTTCCATTGTCTTTGCTGTGAACCCAGCCCTGACTCCTGAGGCCAGCCTCTTGTAGCTGTGCTTGACTTAATGTTTGTGCTCAGTCCATTAGGCAGACAGCTGTAAATGGAAGCGAGTGCTCACTGTCTCTCTGGACCATTATGTGGATTAGGGGAGCCAAGAAATTGGGTTTAAAATCTGGAGTTTGTTCTTAGGAGTCTGAGGTCTCTGAGCATTACAAATCTCGACCTCAGGGTACAGCCATTTACAGTTAATAGGAGGGTGATGGATGTCGGCTATTTTCAAATCTAATAAGAAATCTATTTTTCAAAGGAATTTTATGTCGTCCAAATTAAACTGGAAAAAAAAAAAGTTCAAGGCAGAATCCTACTAAAGAAAAGACTCGTGGCCAGGATTTGTTCTTGCTTCTTATATGGGCACAAGTTCTCCTCCTGGAAGAGTGCCGCTGTCAGCATAAGGCACTGTCACAGTGTCAGTTATTAAGGGACTGGCCTGGCCGCCTGGGTGCGTGGGGCCCCAGGGCTGAATCAGACATGAGTGCTGGACTCCATGATTCCTGATTCTGGTGCCATGGGGGCTGCTCCCTGTGGCTGGAGATAGGACACGTTAAAAACCAGTGTGAAGTCCACAGGTTAGACTGGGTCAGGAAGCCAAGAGACATGAGGTCCAGGCTTGGAGATGTCACTTGTATGGGCTGTGTGACCTTGGGCAGCACTTTCTACTTCTCAGGACCTGGATTTCCTAAACCAAAGGAGCAGGACTTCCTGCTTGAACATTCTGTTGCCCCTCCAGTTTCTCTGAAACTTATCATCTGTGCACTCTGCTGGCATCGAAGTGTACTGCCGGGGGTCACTAATCTTTCATGTTTTCGTCTTACCCCCTCAGTTAGGGCCCCAGCTCTTTCATGCATTTCACTCATAAAGTTCTGCCATCTGCCCCGGGCACTCTGGGCCACACCAGATACGCTTGCATCCAAGCCTGGCCCTGGTACAACACTTCACAGTTTGTGAGGAGAGTTAACCAGGTATGGGATGAATACAAGGTACTCAGTAAATACTTACTGAAGGAATAAATGAGTAAATAAGTAACACACAGGTATTGTGTGTGAAATATGACACAAGTGTGGAATGAAGGCAAAGAACTATGGTTAAACCTCTGCTAAAAAGAAACATTTGGGAAGAGTAATTTTTGAATTGCTGTTTGCTAGATTGCTGAGTGATAACCTCTTTAAGGTTCTAAATGTTTTCAGTTGAATTATTTTTTGTGTAAATCTTTCTTTTTTAAAAATATATTTAAAACATCATGATTTTTTTTCCTTTTTTAAAGGTTTTTTTGTTTGTTTGTTTTTTTAGAGACAGGGTCTTACTCTGTTGCCCAGGCTGGAGTGCAGTGGCATGATCATAGCTCACTGCAGCCTCAAACTCCTGGCTTCAAACAATCCTCCTGCCTCGGCCTCCCAAAGTGCTGGGATTACAGGCATGAGCCACTGTGCCCAGCCCTTTTTTGGTATTTTTCTTAAACTGATATATCATAGCTGTACATATTCTTGGTATTTATTTTTTTAATTGACAAAAATTATATACATTGTGTACAACATGTTTTGAAATATGTATATATAAATCTTTCTTAAAGACAATGGTGGCTTTTTTGTTATAAAATATATAGAGCATAAAATTTACCATTTTAACCATTTTCAGTGTATAATTCAGTGGCATTGAGTACATTAATATTATTGTACAATCATAACCACCTTCAATCTCCAGAACTTTTTCATCACCCCAAACTGAAACTCTATACCCACTAAATAATAACTCCTCATTTCCTCCTCCCCCACCTCCTGGCAGCCACCAATCTACTTTCTGTCTCTATGAATTTGACTATTCTAGGTGCTTCATATAGGTGGAATCACACGATATTTTTGTCCTTTCGTGACTGGCTTATATCACTTAATGTTTTCAAGCTTTATCCATGTTCTAGCATGTGTCTGAATTTCCTTCCTTATAATGTCCCATTGTATGTATCCACCATATTTTGTTTATCCATTCATCCATCAATGGAAACTCAGGTTGCTTCCACCTTTTGGCTGTGGTGAATAATGCTGCTATGAACTTGGGTGTATATACCCAGAAGTGGAATTGCTGGATCATACAGAGGTTAACTGGGCAATAAGGAGCCACTGAAGCAAGAGGGTGCCGTGTGTCATATCTTTCAAGTCATTTGTATGTGTAAGCTTCCTCAAATAATTTTTGGGCAGATATATGGTAAAAATAAAAGGTGTACATTCTCAGTTCATTACTTTATGGTTTCAGATCATTTCTGCTGTATCAGTTAGGGTGCTAACAGAAAATCCAATCAATGCTATCTTAAGTCACAAGGACATTTACTTTTTACCTAAATCTAAAGCTAGCTGTCCCAGGGTTGGCTCAGTGACTCAGTGATATTATCAAGAACCCAGTCTTTTTCTGTCTTTCTACTCCAGCAAAGCATGTTGACTTTTCATCCTCATGCTTGTCACCTCATGGCTACAAGATAGCTGCTGCAGCTCCAAGCATCATACCCTCACACTATTAGACTCAAAGTCATAAAGGAAAGAGGACTGAGAAAGGCATTTCTCTTCATACAGCTGTCATTTCAGGGAAGAAGATTTTTTCCTAGGGGCCTCTAGTAAACTTCTTCTTATGTCTCATTGGCCAGAACTAGGGCATATTCCCACCCCTTGACCAATCACTGACAAGGGAGAACTGTGGTTGCCAGGCTGGCTTAGACCAGCCATGATTCATGCCTCGGGGGTCTTGGGGTAATGGTTGTTGGCAAGACAACCAATAGTGTCTGCCACATTCCCAGAAAAAGAACAATGGTGTGCAGTTAAACTGATGCAGCCCAGTCAGTGAGGTCGGAGGTGACCTTTTCCCTCAACACCAGTCTCATAAAGGCCCTCTACAAGCTCATTTTGTGTCCTTTTCCAGTTTTCCATACGCCTTGTAACTGCTATGTGTGGGATCTTGTGGTTTTAGCATTTTCTACCAGGAAATGAATTGCTTATTGGCTGCTGGTTATGATGCAGCTTCCATCTTCTGGCAGAGGCACGGCTTGGATAGGGTGAACTTACCACAGGACAGCACTGCAGTCACCTGGGCAGCGTCAGAGATATGTCCCATCCAGGTTCATGATATGGGTGCTGTCAGGATCTCACCAGAGCAAGGTTAAGCATTTGGACCCTCCTTAATGTGCGCCATTTCCTGACTCCCCTAAAGAGCTGGGTATTTTGCAAGATCAGTTTTTGTTTATTCTGCCTCATGCTGTCTGACGTCACTGTCAAATGTTGCTGCAGACAGAAGCTCCGTTTGTGCTTTGAACACTGCTGATCCAGGAGGAGACTGATTGGATTTTTTTAGCTTTTCCATCTTTCCTGGAAGGGGATGGGCTGGGAAGTGTGGCCCTCACGCCAGCTCTCAGCTCTTTGGCCATCAACTCAGCTCGACTGAGCCTCCACTTAGCTCTTTGGCCATCAAAGGGGAAAAGACCACTGCTGGGGAACCCAGAGGTACACTTCGGGTACCGGGCTCTCTTTCAAACAAGCGCCAGGAGGGCAGGCGCTGTTTCCTCTGTGTCCTGTAGAGCACCTTATTTACTGAGTATTTATTTGCTGCAGTCCACCTGGCTTCCCATCCACTGCGGAGTCTTCTTCAAGCATGACCCCGTCCTTGTCACTTCCACCAGCAGTCCCACCTCCAGCCGCCTGTCTAGAGCCTTCACTGCTCCTCGCAGCTCCCCAAACGTCCCTGTGCCCTCATCCCCAGGCCTTTGTGGTGGCTGTCCCTGAGTCCTCCCGCCCGCTACTTCCAGCCCCCTTTACCTGTTTAATGCCTCTCCCTCCTTCGGGCCTGCAGTTGGCCAGCACGGCTTCCCGGAAGGCACCCCGGGCCCCGACTCGGTGGGCGCCTGCTCTGGGCTCTGCGTTCCCGTGGCCGCCGCTCCTCTCCGCCCGCTCTGGAGCGCGATCTTGCGGCAGGGCCCCTCGGCCTTACCGGCCACCGCATCCGCGCATCCAGCTCAGGGCCTGGCGCTTGGGTGGCGGATAAACGAACGAATGGCCCTTCCCGGTCGCCTCGGCAGACAGCACCACCCGCTCTCTCCACTGGGGCTCGTGGGGCCCCGGGAGAAGCCCGGATCTGAAGGGGGGCTGCCCTTTCCGCCCGCAGGGATCAACTACTGCGCCCTGAACAAACCGGGCTGCGCGCACGAGTGCGTCAACACGGAGGATGGCTCCTACTGCCGCTGCCGCCGCGGCTACACCCTGGACGCCAACGGCAAGACCTGCAGCCGTGAGTGTGCCCCCCGGCGGGCTCCCCATCACTCAGGCCCTGCCGGAGCTCCCGGTTTCCTGAGGGTCCCTTAGGATAGTCTTCCTCACCCTCCGTTTCATCATCCGTAAAATGGGACTATTCATACTACCTACCGCATAGGTTGGGTTGTGAGGATTAAAAGAATTAATCCGTGTAAAGCACTTAGAACAGCGCTGCTGGGCAAACGCACTCAATAAATATTAACTATTATTATTATTTGCTGTGGAGAGCATTTACTAAGTCAAATGGGCCAGAATTCAAATCCAAGCTCTACCACATATTGCATGTGTGACCTTGGGCAAGTTATTTAACTTCTAGATTTGATTTCCTATCTATTTTTAAAAAGGGAACCTAATAATAGTATTGATCCCTCAGAGTTTTTATGGGGAGAAATCAGGACCATTTTAATCTCTTAGCATGGTGCCTGGTGCCAGGTAAACATCCAATCCAGAACAGTTCTAGCCCAGGTGTGGTGGCTCATGCATGTAATCCCAGCACTTTGGGAGGCCGAGGCAGGAGGATCACCTGAGGCCAGGAGTTAGAGACCAGCTTGAGCAAGAGTGAGAACCTGTATCTACAAAAAATAGAAAAAACTAGCCAGGCATGGTGGCGCATGCCTGTAGTCCCAGCTACTTGGGAGGCTGAGGCAGGAGGATTGCTTGAGCCCAGGAGTTTGAGATTGCAGTGAGCTATGATAATGCCACTGCATTCTAGCCCGGGTGACAGAGTGACACACTATTAAAAAAAAAAAAAAAAAAAGAGAACAGTTCCTATCATGGAGCCTGTGAGAGTGGCCGGAGTCCCGGTTCCAGGCTAGGACAAGAGGCCAGAAGGGACAGACCTCAGAAAGCAATGTGCTACACAGGCTGATCTGAGGGCAGAGCTGAGAAATGTGGGACCTTCTGTGAAGGCTTTTCTTAATTTTCTTGTATCGGAGCCATAGCAAAGGTCCACTTGGTGATGTAAACGCATGGGAACTTGCAGGCTCTGCCAGCTGGGCGGTTCCATTGTGTTTTATGAGGCACAGTCTCCACTGGTCCCAGCCAGCAGGGCAGGAGCCATGAGCGCTGCGGTGTATCCTGCACCCCTGGCACACTGGGAGAGGGACTCCATGACATGGCCAGCGCAGAAGGGGCCCTTTGTGAGGCTTCCACCCAGCAAGCCCCACATCTGCTCCGCTTTGGAGACAGAGATAGATTGTGAGGGAGAACAGTGCAGCTGTTGAGCATTTGGGCCCTAAACTGCCAGCAGGGAAGTTTCACAGATGAAGTAGGAGTTCCAGAGCAGCCCCCAGGGAAACGTGTTCCCCTTCCTGGGAAAACGTCTTCAGAGGGGCAGAATGCCTCCTTAGGCTTTCTAAGCCCTGATCTCAGAGGCCAGAGGGCTTTTGAACCAGAAGTTTGGTGCAAAAGCCAGAGCCTGCTGTACATTTGCCTCTGGGTGTCTCTGAGTCCTCACAAAAAGCCAGTGGAGAACAGGAGGTCTTCCATGCAACAAGGACACACCCTGGTGACGATGGATTTGTGCACACCCTGCCTTTTGCAGGAGTGTGGGGGCTGCCTGCTGATGGCCCTGGCAGGTCTCCTGAGGCAGGCTGGGGGAAACCTGGTTGAACCCACCCAGGCCAGCAGGGGACACGCTTGCCTGCCTCTCTTTCCCAGTGTGCCTAGAAGCCTAGAAATGCTCAGAGGACCAGCCACAAGAGGCCGGGGCCCTCCTTTCTCTCTGGGATCTAGTCAACTCTAAGAAATCATAAACCAAGCCATCTCTGTCTAGGAGTTCCTGGAAAAAGCCGTGGTCTTCTGCTCCCCCTGAGGGCTCAGGGAGCCCCAGGCCGTAATGCGCTCACTCTGCAGGCACTGCTGCAAGCACTTCCCATGCACTGACTCTCTTTGTCCTAACAACAGCCCTGTGCGGCATCTCCATTCTTGTCCCTGTTTGAAGATGGGGAAGCTGGGCACAAAAAGATTAAGTCACTTTCTCAGGGTCCTGTGACTAGTAAATGGCAGAACCAGGATGTGAACACAGGCATGTGGCTCCCAAGATCCTGCAAGTGTTTGCAGTAAGTGCATCTACCAGTGGGATGTTCCAGAAGGCAGTGGTCCCAGGCCACTTGGTGGCCCTGCACAAGGCCTCCAGTGTCTGTCCAGCCTCTGGGCGTGCATTTTCTCCAACCAGGAAATGTGGGAGGCAGCCTGCTGGGCTGTGGGCGCCATTCAAGCAGCTGTGTGTTCACTGCCTTCAGTGCTCACTGCCCAGGGGTCAGCCACGTGGCATTCGGTGCCAGGATGGCATTCAGCGCCCATTCATGTTTTCTGAATCTGGATGTCCTGATTCGGGGGTAAAGAAAAAAATCACTTTTTCTTTTTCATTTTCAGTTAGAAGTGAAACTATACAATTAATCCTTACTCAGCACTACTTGGTAATAATAGTAAGTATTCATTAAGCGGTTGCGGTATGCCAGCTGCTGTTCTGAGGGCTTTGCGTGGGTCAACCCCTGTTACTGTCACCACATTCCTGTAAGAAAGCAGCCATCATCATCCCCCTTTCTCAAGTCAGGAAACGGCGCAGAGAGGCCCCAGGACTGCCCAGCATCTGTAGCTAGGAAGTGGCGGAAATGTGATTTGAGCCCACGTGGTTTGGTGCCAGACCCTCTTTCTTGAGCACTGCTCTGTCAGCTGCGTGGCTTTGGGCAAGCACCTTGACCTTCCCTGTGCCCCGCTTTCCTGTGTGTGAAATGGGAATCGCACCTGCTCTCAGTGTTGCCCTGAGATTGCAGATTCTGCGTGCCCCGGCCCTGGCACCAAGTGCCGCTGTCATCAATAGCGTTCCTTAGACGTTGGAGGTGTCTGTGTTTACTCTTTAAAGAAATGGGAAGACCAGCAAATAAGCAAGGCTGGTTTTCCAGAGAGGCCGATGGCATGGAGCAGAATGAAACCTTCCCCGTGGCTCCTCGTGCCTCCCGGAAGGTTTTGTTTTTCAATCCGGGTTGCTGATGGAGTGTTGCCCCCTCGGCTCCTCTGTGTCTTCCTGTGTGTGACAAACGCAGGGGTAGACCACTGTGCGCAGCAGGACCATGGCTGTGAGCAGCTGTGCCTGAACACGGAGGAGTCCTTCGTCTGCCAGTGCTCAGAAGGCTTCCTCATCAATGAGGACCTCAAGACCTGCTCCCGTGAGTCCCTCCTCCTCACTCCTCCTGTAGGGAAATGTTTGCACCGGGAGTGGAACCAGGGTGGCGACTGCAGGGGACACAGTTCGTGTGTGGGCCCCTCCCCTCTGCCCTTTTCTCTGCTCTGGGGAGACTGTGGGGATGTCAGCTGGGAACTGCATGCCTGGGTGTGGTGGCAGTGGTAAGCATGACAGTCACTTGATTCTCTTCATAGCCCAGAGGCCTCGCTGACGGAGGCTGTGGGGACCACCTGGGTTTCGGTTTTGCAGGGGTGGATTATTGCCTGCTGAGCGACCACGGATGTGAATACTCCTGTGTCAACACGGACAGATCCTTTGCCTGTCAATGTCCCGAGGGACACGTGCTCCGCAGCGATGGGAAGACATGTGCGAGTGAGTGTTTGAGGTCCTGGGACAAGCAGGAGGTGGCCCAGGCGTTCCGTGGGCGTGAGTGTGGGTGTGCTGCTGACATCCACATGCTCGCATGTCCTCTCTCCACGCTTCCCTTTCCCTCGTGGATGTGTGTGACTGCATCACTTGCCATTTGAGCCCTGGTGGCTGTTTCTCCCCTGTCCCCAAGCTTCCTTCCCCAACTCCCTGAAATGGCTTTTTGCTATTCCCACAGTCTGCCTTCCCCTCGTTCTGAAGCTGGACAGAGCCCTAGTTCTTAGCCCTCTCTGCTCTACCCCAGCCAGCCGGCATTGCATGTGAATAACAGCAATGCAGACCCCTCGCTGACTGCCGGCCGCATGCCTGGCGCCGTGCTAAGCACGCATGCTATCATGTTCCGACTACAGATGAGGAAACTGTGGCTCAGATTAACTGAAGAGCCTCAGGTTATCAGCTATGAAGTGCTGGGTTTGAACTCTGCTCTGTGTGGTTCCAAAGTCAGTTCTGGGAGGAGGCGAGGTTCCTGAGAAAACTCTGCCCCCTCCCTGATCCAGATGGCCTGACAGCACATGGTGAGGCTGGCAGCAATATTTTCTGGTACGTATTTCCTTGCAGCTGGTCTCCACTCCTGCCTCCATTAATTTAAGAAAAAAAAAAAACAAAAAAAAACTGCTCCCAGACCTCCTTCTCTCTTTCGCAGAAGAACGCAGCTTTGTTGCCCTGCAATCTGGTTCTAAGTGGACCAGGATAAAGACTTGAAAACTAGTCATTTTGAGAGAAGGGATCAGAAATGGAAGAAAAGGACCATAATTTACCTTCTGCATCCTGCTGCTCTTTCTGGCTATAGGGCCAGATTCCCCAACCACTGATAAAACCGTGGACACCTTTATCCCCCTCTTTATATCATCCATTCACATGGGCAGATGAGCCAACTGCACAGCTGGGCGCGCCTCTCTAACGACGCTGCCCGTGAGAAAATATTTCCCCGGTTTGGGACAGATTCTTGAATCTCGGCAAATGGGTTATCCATGTCATGCTTGCTTGTGGCTCCCTGCCCAGCTGCCTCTAGACAGATGCCAGCCAGCTCGGGGAGGCGCTGCGCACTGGGGGTGCAGAAAGAGGGCGGGTGTGTCGAGTTGCATCTGCATTTGACTGCATGCCAGAGCCGGCTGCAAGGGATTTTGTTGGTTTGTTTTAATTCTCCGTCATCTTGCAGTATTTGTGCCCTTTCTTTGTCACCTCTTCACTGGGACGATCAAGAACTGACTATACGAGGGGTGCAGGACCTCTAAGAAATTCTCATGGGCCCTTCCAAACACATGCAGCCCCTTCTCTTTCTAATCTTATGCCCGCCCCCTTCCCCCGCCCTGGTCCACATCTGGGTTATGCCTTTGCCACTTTTAAATGCTGCCCGTTTTCTCATTTAAAGTGTGTTTCTGACTAATGGCACAGTGACACCATCTACATGAGTAAATGTCCCACGATGCAATTGATAGTGAGTTTTGTTGTTTATGTATGGTTATGTCTATGTGAGAGCTTGTGAGGTAATCAGATGGGTAGAATTGTCCTCGGGAACAGTGCATGAGAGTCACATTTTACCCACTAGCTGATACAAATGCCTTAAGCTATTCCCCTAATTGAAGACTTTCTGTCTGTTCTGGAATGATTCAGTCTCACTGCCCCATCCTGTAATAACGGGCTCGGTTTTCGGTGCGGCCACAACTAACAGGGGGTTGGGATGTGTGTTCCCCAGCTCTGTGCCAGATGACCAAGAACCAGATGACGTGACTGCACCTTTTCGGCAAAGCCTGCTGGGGGCCAGCCAGGCCTGGCTCAGCAGATGAGGGTATCCTTGGCCCTTTATAAAGGCAGCATCCACTTACAGCCTTGATAGTGTAGGGGGAGTGGTATCTGCTCACCTTCTGGAAAGTTCTCTGAAGTGTGGAGACCAGGCCCAGGTTCCTGGGGTGCTGGGATAAAGTGGGCACTGTTGTCCTCATAACAAGATATTACGGGCTCCTGGGGCTCTCTGGCCTCTGGAGTGATGCCCACTTCCTCTCAGCCCCTTCCCCTCCAAGCACCGATTGCGGGGATTCTCCGTAGGAGCCCCCTTGCTGGGGCAGTTAGATGCACAGACTGGGGGTGGGGAGGAAATGGGTGGTCTCTTCTACCAGCTGCAGCTGAGAGGCCTCCTCCTCTCTCTAGAAGTTTCCCTGAGATAGAGCTTGTACAAGGGCATCCCAACCCCAAGAAAGACTCCACAGGCCAGATGTGCATGGAGCACACAGCCCACTGGCCTGCGAGCTCCTGAAGGTCAGAGGTCAGAGGTCGGAGGCCAAAATAAAATGAGTGGGAGAGTGAATGGACCAAGACCACCTGTCTTTTTACCCCATGGCTCCTGGCACAAGGTCGGCTCCCTGCTCAATAACCTTTAGTGGTTCTCCCTTGCCTCCCAGAATAAATTACCGTCTCACTCCACGATTTGGCAGTGTGAAGACCTCTCTCCTCCACCTCTTTAGCCCTACCCCAGGTCTTTCCTGAAGGCTCCTGTTCTTCAGCCAAAGTGGTGAGTTCCCTATTCTCTGAGCAGGTCCTGCAGCTTCCAGCTTGTCCTGTCTCTGCTTGGGGACATCCTCTACCCGCCTCTGCCATTGGAAACCCAGCCCACCCAGATGTCACCCCCCATGGGGAACTTCCTCCCCGCACCCACTGGTGTCTCTCCCGCATCAGGCTCCGTTGGGACCTCCCTGCAGTGCTGTCCTGCCCAGCCTCACCCTGTCTCTGCACAGATCCAAGGAACAATGTGGCAGGGTAGAAAGAGTATTGAACTGGGGCCCAAAGACTGGGTTTAAATCTTGTGACTTCTACACTGGGCAAGAAAATTGACCCTCTCTGAGTCTGACTGCTCATCTGTAAACAGAATGGTCACTCCTGCCGTCCTCTGAGGGTCACCATCTGGCGCAGGAACAGACTTTCATCAAAGTGCTTTGTGAACTTGTAGAGGGCCGTAAACCCCTAAGGTACTCTGGTTAGGGTCTTACCTCCCACCATCAGGCGCCCCTGCATGAAGGGAGGCCTAGGGTAGCTCCATGATGCCTCCTGGACACCCATCTCCCAGGGCCAGCCCTACCCTCTTTGGAGGGACCCCAGAGACACACCACCCTGGAAGGCAGTTGGATTCAGGAGTCCAAGGGCAGTCCTAGGGGAGACCCTCCCTCTGCACATAGGGGACACTAACAGGGATCTGAGCCACAAGCCATGGGGTACTGGGGAGTCCTGGTTGGGGATACTTCTAGTCCAGCTCCCACAGTGGATCTGAGAAGGCCTGTCCAGGCCCGAGGCCCTGAGCTTGGCCTCCCAGGGCTGAAGCAGCCCTGAGCAAGGCTAAGGGAATGTCTTAGTCTGCTTGGGCTGCCATAACAAAATAACATGGACTGGGTGTTGTTTCTTAACCACAGAAATTTATTTCTCACAGTTTTGGAGGCCAGAGGTCTGGCACCAGGGCGCCGGCATGGCCAGGTTTTGGCGAGGGGCCTCTTCCTGGCTTGCAGATGGCCAGCATCTGGCTGTTGTCCTCGCATGGGAGAGGGCGAGGCGTGAGAGAGCACAAGAGTGCGAGCAAGCTGTCTGGTGTCTCTTCCTATAAGGGCACAAATCCTATTGGATCGGGGTGCAACCCTCATGACCTCATCTAAACCTCGTTACTTCCCAGAGACCTCAACTCCAAATATCATCACATCAGGGGTTGGGGCATCAGCATATGAATTTGGGGGGACACAATTCAGTCCATAGCAGAGAGTAAGGGGAGAGGACCACTCTCACACTCTTGTCGTGCCATTAAAGTCTTGCTGCGACAGAAGGAAGCTTAGCTTTTCCCCTTTCTTCAGTGGGAAACAGACGCAGGGAAGAAACCAGTGCCTCCAAGCTGGCCCTGGGGCATCAGTGGCAGAGCCAGGACTGGAACCCAAGTCCCCTGACTTCAGGATCTCCAGCCCAGAGTGAAATGCCCTTGAAAAGTACATCTCAGTTCGGCTGCTTCTGGGTTTGTCTGAGAAAAAGCCTATATAGAGTTAGCAAAGGACTGGCCACTCCTAGTTTCATTATAAGAAAAGTCAGGAAATGGTGTAATTCTATCTGTCAGCCGTTGGTTACCCTTTTGGCAGATGGGTGCTGTGGCTTTCTCCCTCTGGGGTCGGGGTTGGTTTTAATAACCTCTTACACGGGGCCCCAGACACAGGATTGCCGTCTGTGATCGCTGCAGAGGTGCGAGTCCGTGGAACACTTTACCCCAGAACTGCACCGCAGACATAGGTGACTCACCAGATGCATAATCCAGATGTGTGTGGCTGCTAGACATGGACCCTAAAAACCTGTGCTACATCCTGAAACTTCTAATCATCCTGATCGCAAATTGCAAATCTCACTCCCGGTGAAGATTTAACTAAATGTGCGGACCTGCTTGCTCATGTGTGAACGTGGAGCTTTCTCATGAGCCCTCTCATTTCATTTAAGTGATGGCTCCTAATCAAGTCTGTCTCTCTCTCCTCTCTGGGTTCTAGTCTCGGTACTTCCTTAAGCTCTTGGTCCATTTATTCTTTTTCTGTATAGGTATTCACTGTGTCCCTGCAGTACAGGGTGCTGGGGACCCCTAGGGTTGACACAGATTCAATTTGTGCCTTGACGGAGTTTAAAGTTTCTCAGGGAAGAAGGCTATAAAAGATGGATGTTCCATTCCTTGCGATGAGACTCGAGCTGGGGGAAGGAGGGGTGCCGCGGAGCCTCCCCTGGGCTAGAGAAAGAGATGCTTGGTCCAACACCTGAAGAGCGAGCAGAGTGAGCTGGCCAGAGATGGAGGGGAAGAGCTTCTAAGGCTTTGGAAATAGCACGTGCAGGCCCAGGGGCCAGAGCGTGAACCACAGGGAGTTCAGGGTCCTGGGTGCGAGAGGGAGGCTGGTGAGAGACAAGCCTGAGGCAGCTGCCAAAACACATCATCCACAGCCTGT